GTAAATTGAGGTCCGTTCTTCTGATAGTCGGCAGAGAAGGCTTGAACTGCAACCAACTGGGTGATACATTTATTTAAGATAAGATAAGATAAGATAAGACAAAATAAGAAGATAAGAAAACCTTTATTTGTCTCACAATGTAGAAATTCGCAATCAACATGAGCAAAATTTGGAGGGAAGAAAGTAGAAAAAAACGAAGTATTTGCATGCACAAAAAAGAAAATCTGTTTATATGTATTGATATGAGCTGCTGTTGTGGTCATCGACAAATTCGTGATGTTTTAAGAAGAAAAACTTAACAGTTGTGGGGAAACGCTGATATCAACACGATAGGTATCCCTCAATTCTTATGAATCAAGGTTTCCTGTACCGTGGCTAAGTCAAAAAGTAGCACATCGCTAAACAACAGTGATATGAAAGTCTAAAAAAAAAAAAAAAAACACTCCATTTCACGTTGTCATCCAGCTGACAGAAAAGAGACAAGTGGTTCCAGGTAAAGCCACGCTTGCGTCACTCGAGTCAGACCCGTTTGGGTTTCTTGTCAGTCTGGGAAGCTCTGCACCTGCACCCCGGCCAAATAAATTACACCATGGCACTGACTCGGTGAGGACGACTCTTCTAGGCCATCGGGGCTCTCACGTTCACATCCCCATTTGTGCTGAGTTTCATCATCATCTCATGAGTTCATTTCATTACAGGCAAACATGGAGATCATGATGTGGAACTAGAAGGGGGCGCTCCTGGTGCCAATATTATCCCAAATATGTGAGGGATGAGCTCGATTTAGAGCTTGCGTGCGTGTGCGCCTGCAGCGCTCATTTGCATAACGTTCCCGCGAGAGAGCGTCCGCTGAACTGCATGCTAAGTCTTTGTGATCACCCCTGTGTGCAGCTCAGATAAACTTGATCTTAATGTGACAAAACGGTGCATGAAGGGGATTGCTCGCTTCCCGCTGGCCACTCTACGGGGTAAGAAAATCCACCATTCTGCTCTTAGATAGATGGTTAGATTAGTTAACAGCGGTTCTATTCAAAACGCACAAGAAATATCAAATATTGAGATGCATTCATAAGCTATGTGGAATGATAACTTGCCTTCTATGATAAAATACAGTTCATATAAATGGACCACAGATCAGAAACCAAGTTGAAGTGGTTGCCAGCCAATCGCAGGTCACACAGAGAGGAACAACCATCCACGCTCCCACTCACACCGAGGCACAATTTAGAGTGGTTCATGAGCCTGCCAAGCATGTTTTTGGATTGTGGGAGGAAACCTGGAGAAAACCCACGCACAGGTAGAACATGCAAACTCCACACAGGAAGGCCTGAGCCAGGATCGAACGCACGACCTCTGCACTATGAAGTTGAGGAGCTAACCACTCGACCATCGGGCCACCGCACAAAAACATTTGCAACGTTAATACTACATCATTTTTTTTCTGATGCTTTAAGCACTTTTTTTTCGAACTACTGTATTGGCTATTTTTGCGGAACTCTTCGCACAAATACGAAAACCTTTCGCCAAAATAACAAAACACTGTAGTTCTCTTGCAAAAGCAAGGAACTCACAAACTCTTTAAAAAATGTATTTTTGTATTTAATGGAACTTTTGTTTACACTGTCGTTGTCCCGAGACTGACCTGTAAGAGGCAACAAGTTGCCACAGGCTTCTACAAAAAATGCATACAAAGAAATAGAAGAAGCTAGGCTAACTGTTAGCTTATCTGGTAACTACATTGGGGTTGCAAACACTTCTCTGTGTATTGCACCAGAGGGCGCTTGCTTATTGGCGATTGTTCCATTTTGCGTCATAATAGGAAGTTCAGCTGAATTTGTGTTGACGACACAGAATGATTTGTGAGCGTACACCTTGAACAGGGTTAATATAATTCGATTGTCTGTCACTAGCCATTTTTACGAAACAGTCACAATGAACACACAGTACACCACAGTGTAATCTCTCAGGATAGTCTTTATCGAGATATCCAAGAATTGTGCCTTTGCTGACTTTAATCAGAAGACAGGAAAAATATGCAAGCTTGGCCTGATTATCGGTATGTGAGGATCCCACTTAACAATCTCAGCCTGTTTCCCTCTTAATAATTCGTACCTCACTTGAGATAACACCTGATAAAGTTTTTTGCTCTTCTGGTAGTGAGCAAATTTCAGTTTTTAAAGGGAACTTTATTTCCATCTGCGGAGGCAGCAGGTCACAGTGACGGCATCTTTTCCCTTCTCAACACGTCTTCTCACAACACTCCCCTCCTCCCCCTTCATCACGCACACACATCAGAGGCAGCCCGCCTACCTTGGAGTGTCATCAGGTCACATGTTAAGTGGAAACACTATTTCCAGTACTGATTACACATAATCATTAGTCTCCATGAACGATCTTGTAGTTGTACAATAGCGAGGGGAAATATTATTCATATTGTTCAAGTAACACCCAAATCCGTATTTTTTTCTTTGTCCTGGGTAAAAATGTATGAAAGCGCTCACACAACAGATCAATATCAAATCAGATGCGTAAGCCCGCAGTTGCAACCAAAATCAATTGTGCTAAGCTGCTTGACGCATTCACCGGGAGAGGCGAACTAAAACTAAAAATAATGGCGTCCGCTTTCTCATAGCAGTCAAAGTAAGAGCATCACAAGCCTTTTGTCATTTGCCAGACAGCATTGTGTTGACATCTCTCCCTAATTGAAATAATGATGCTAATTATTACGATGGATGTCTGCCTGCTGCTTTTGACACAATCATACTCAACTCAAGACAAGAGCAACGTGATTTGCAGCATTCTGATATGCCTATAACTGAAATTAACAATTATTCACTTGGACTATTTGATTTGTTTTTCTTTTTTATGTAAGATGTGCCACAAGTAATGGGCAATTTTTCAGCCCTACATGCAAGCGCATTGGCCAAATAGCCTGCGCTTTCTACACTAACAACCATGTAATTTGGGCAACAGCTCTGATAGTGGGAATCATTGTGCAGTTGCATACGATAGGAAAAGGAAGGAAAAGTAGCTCTTTATGTTGTCGGGGCTCCGGAACCTTTTCCTCCAAAGGCCATCATGAACACATATTGTATAGACCAGTGGTTCTTAACCTGGGCTCGATCGAACCCCAGGGGTTCGGTGAATCGGTCTCAATGGTTCGATGGAGCCTCTGCCATGGAGGTTAAGACACAACCGCCCGCTTGGCCACCACTGGCTGCAGATGATCACATTACATTGCTTGTGCAATCAGTGCAGCAGGAAATTTAGTTCGCTCGTGTGACTGTCGTGTTAGTACGTCATATCATTTTTAAAAACTACACTAAGGCCATGTAATTGTACTTACTTTTTTCTGTTTTTAATAAATGTGTTTTTTTTTAATGTCTTGAATTTGTAAAAAATTATTTGATTTTTTTACTAATGAAGGGTTTGGTGAATGTGCATGTGAACTGGTTGGGTTTGATACCTCTAACAAGGTTAAGAACCACATTTGAGTGAGGGAGGGTTCGAGAGTGAGGGAGGGTTCGAGGTATGGGTTTGCACCATAACCACTACAGTATATCAAATTAAATATAGTATTAATATAGGGGCGGCACGGTGGTGGCCCAGTGGTTAGCACGTCGACCTCACATTGCAGAGGTCGTGGGTTCGATCCCGGCTCCAGCCTTCCTGTGTGGAGCTTGCATGTTCACCCAGGCCTGCGTGGGTTTTCTCCGGGTACTCCGGTTTCCTCCCACATTCCAAAAACATGCATGGCAGGTTGATGGAACACCCTAAATTGTCCCTAGGTGTGAGTGTTCAAATAATTTTTCGTCTCTGTGTGCCCTGCGATTGGCTGGCAACCGGTTCAGGGTGTCCCCTGCCTACTGTCCGAAGACAGATGGGATAGGCTCCAGGCTCCCCCCCACACCCTTGTGAGGATAAACTGAAAATGGATGGACGTACTGACTAGAAGAAGGACCAGTGTTTTCCAAACCT